TGTATATATATATATGTGAATAGATAAATCTATATACAGCTCTTTTGGAGTATTTATTTTCAGGCGGTTGGGGAATCCAATCTTCTTCGTTTTGCAAGGTTTTGGCCTTGTGCGGATGGTCGCCGTTCATACGACGAGATCTCTGGAAAGCTGGGCTTTGGGAAGTGCGATTTCAGGAGCATGCAGGGACAGGATTGAACAACGATTCAGAAATTGTCGGCGATTCGGAAACTACGATTCCGAAACTACTTGGGCGGGTTCAGAAATTATTTGCACCGATTCAGGAACTACGATTCAGAAACTACTTTCACCGATTCAGAAGTTCTTTGTACATTTTGTGCCTATTCGAGAAACTAGGCCATTCCAAATTACGACTCAGAAACTAGTTGTCCCGATTCAGAAGCTGCGATTCAGCAATTCATTTGCCCGATCAGAAATTATTTGCACCCCCTCGCCCTGCGATATAAGAGGGATTGAGTGACAGAGGGAAAGCCATGTAGGGACGTGTCTTAAAATCACACCTTCACCTTGCAACAAGAGACTGTGGACACATGTTAAACCCCCCCCCCATTTTGGCACCTTAAATATGAGGGGCCAACAAGGGATCACATTTAAGACTACCCATAGGGCCATTTTTGTGGGGTCAGCAAGGGATAACGGTCAGGAAGGAATAGAGCAATAGAGCCTCATAGTAGTCCCTGTATAATTCCCAGATAATGTAGTAGTTTTGCTCTTTTTTTTCAATTCCTTCATTCGCATGACGAGGGTACATGTCAAGTGGCAGTGCTCAACCTCCAGATCCCAAAGGTCCTTGTCGAGAGGCTCATACTGCAACGCCTAATTGCGATGATTTTGCAAAACCATTTGTGATCTGCATGTTCGTTGTTGATTCTCAAATCTGAAATTGTTCTCCCTTGACGCTTCTCTTTGCCCTTGAAACCTCCATGTTAATCCTCGATCCCCAACAAGTGAACCCTAACCACTACACCCAGAACTCGAAATGTAGATCCAGCACCCTCAATCCAAGCCAACCTATCCCTTACGTACCCACGTACCCTAAATGCGAAATCCTCAGGAACGTCCTGGTCGGCTCGCGAGTTCCCGAGGAGACCTTTCATGCAGCGCGGGTCACACCGGTGATCCTGTATTGCACCTGTGCGGGATTAACGAGGGCCTTCTTGAAAGTCAGGGGAAATGTTTTTTTTGTGTTGAGCGGGTTGGAAGGGTTTATTGTCTTTCAAGTGTATGCTGATGGTTGTCTAATCTGACACCAAGGCCAACCCCTAAAGGATCGGACTACCTTCCTGCCACATAGCCACTAGTCCTGAGGCAACCCGCCAATAAGATACCTCTACGAAGTGTAGAACAGCACCTTCATGATCTGTGCAACTGTGCAATTTGCTGCTCAAGCGGGAAGAGACGGGTCTCTAGCTGCATCAGCTATGAGGCCGGGAATAGAGCAGCTGGCCCCAGTGGCAGTCAGCACTGTCAGTCCTCGTAGCATGTTCACATAAAGTATCGGGATTGTCGGCCCAATTTTCAGCATGGTTCCGGCCAGAGGATTCACTTGGAAATCCCAATCTGTTAGCGGAGCCGCGTGAGCATGACACGTTGGGAGGCGGCGGGGCACTGGCGACCGGCGATGGCCTCTCTTAGTTAGCGAAGGTCTCAGAGCCTGGGCAAATAGTCATGCTAACAAACAACTTATGCAAATGAATCTTGGCGGAGCTCGTCTCAAGCACTCGCAAGGTTCCAGGTAAGTAGAGTTGCTGTCAGTATGCTGGATGCCCACACTTACTTCTTAAAACCTTAATGAGGTCCCATACTAGTTGTGGCTACTCCACTTCACCCAGAAGGGCTCCCACTTTTGAAAGCCCCGCGCTAATTACTCCTCAGCAACACCTCGGCTTGCCCCGGCAAGGTTCGGTTCTCATTAGCACGTGTTTGGCTTTATGGGCCCAGCCCTGAGAATGGGACGATTCAGCTGTTGCTCTGGTGAGCATTCTTGTGAGCATGTATGTGTATCCTTTATGGTTGCTGAGGTTTTGGATGAGGCCGTGCCGCGGCAGGACCCGATGTTCTGCAGAATCACAGCAGTAGTAAGTTATGCTCATGCTCAAACAAGTGACAGGGGCAGTAGCACGATACTATTGACAAATGCAATAACTTCAACCAGCAGGCCATAGACATGACTACAATGGTGCTGACGGTGGGGGTAACAGCGACAATCAAGATGATAGCGACGATGACGACGGCCACCAGTGCTGGCACCACCACCAGCAACACCACACGCCACCAAAAATTGTCGACGACAACGGCCAGGATGATGGGTGGTGGTTGTTTCTGTTGTTCTTGTTGTTGTTGTTGTTGTTGGTGGTGGTGGTGGTGGTGGTGGTGACGACGACGACGACGCTGCTGCTGCTGCTGCTGACGGTGATGGTGATGATGATGATTATGATGGTTCTGGAAATGATGCTGCTCTGCTGATTTGTCGTCTTGTACCAGCCGAAGTGATGGTGGTTGGTGTTGTGTTTGAGAGGTAGTCGTAGTAATCTGTACAAGACCGGCATGCTAACCGCTGAATCTCAAGCCTCTAGCCCAAACGCTTCTACGCGCACTTTCAACCCCCAAACAAGAACGCCTAAACACACGACCCCAATCTAATTCGATTGAGTCCAACCTTTGAACCTAAGTGCTGAGCATCTCAAGCCTGTTTCCTCCCTCCCCCCTCCTCTGCGTTGCAGTCCTTGGCCTTCCTCGTGGGAAGGGGAGCAGGTCTTCCAGGGACCAGGCCTAGATGGCAGTTTGTGGGAATTGGGGGTTTCCCACAACTAGGGGTCCTTTTAATAATGGAGAATCAAGTGGAAAAGAACATGGAAAATGAAATGGAAACAGGGCTTATAAAGCGATTTATTAGGATTGGGGTTTTCCAAAATTAGGGGCCCCTTTTATAGGATTATAGAAACCTGGGGTTCATATTGGGAAGCTGCCCATTACCCTTGCAGAATTTTCCTGAGGGATCCGTAAAATTCTGCACTTCGCGCATATCCCTAGCGTCCCAATGGGGTCCCTTTCCATATTAGGTTTTGTTGTTTTGTGAGGGAGCCTGTGGGAGGGGGAGTGTTTCAGATTTAGTGGTTTCGGGTTCCTACATGCCAGATTGTATAGGGCATGATTTAGGGGACACAGAATATCCTCACGTTGGTCTTCTGCATGCATGGCCAATGATGGGTTTGGACGAGTGCAGAAGAGGTTTCCTGAAGAGTATTGGTGTATAGCCCTCCTTAAGTAGATGGAGATCTTATTATGATTTTCGGGAATTCCATACTCTACCTTCTGCCTATAGCTGTCCTTTTTTCGGGGTCCCGTGAATGGGGAATGGAGATGAGATTAGCATGGGGCATAGGAGTATGGGGACTTCCATTCTACCGGGTCATAACTTTTGTTGTTTGTACTTTGAGTTCCAATCCCAAGCCCAAGTGTCTCCGAGCGGTTCCAATCCTAAACTTAATTGTTCTTAGCAAGGAAGGGAGGAATGGATCCCTCTAGCAGCCCTTGCATTCTGCGCCCCCCCAAAAATTTCGTTTCCGCTTTCTTTTCCATTCCCTCGCTCCCTACGAACAGCCAGCAAGCAACCCAAGTGAATAAACTCCCAGCATCCCCCTTCCTCAGTGCTTTAGCAAGCCCTAGAGTACTCCACAAGAACATCCCCTATATAGCCCCTAAACCCTAAACCCTAAGTGTCACAACAAGTGCTGGAGAACACGCAGCTAGATGTGGCAGAAATGATGGACGTTGCAGAAGAAGAAGGCGCAGGTTCGTCGGCAGCAGGTACCGCGGGCACTACTGAGGGGCTGCAAAATGGTAGCTTTGGAGATGGAAAGGTGCAAACTGACCTGCAAAGCTGGTTGAAGTAGCCGTGGTTGAGTGCACCAAGGGACTGGCCTTAGTAGTACAGCAGGGGCCTTTTGTTGAGTTTGCCCTGGAGGGGGGGTTCTGGTGACGTAAGTTCACTGGGAGCTTTCCCTGGGGTGATGCCTGCATGGAAGCCAGCTTTCTGCATGTGGAGGCTTTGCGGCTTTTTTGGCTGTGCAGTGGGAAAGACCTGTTGCATAGAGTT